AGGTCAGATGGAGGACCCAGTGCCTGAGATAGAGGTAAGGGAAGCTCATGTATAAGGATAGATAGAGAACCCAGTGCCTGAGATAGAGGTAAGGGAAGCTCATGTATAAGGTCAGATGGAGAACCCAGTGCCTGAGATACAGGTAAGGGAAGCTCATGTATAAGGATAGATAGAGAACCCAGTGCCTGAGATAGAGGTAAGGGAAGCTCATGTATAAGGATAGATAGAGAACCCAGTGCCTGAGATAGAGGTAAGGAAAGCTCATGTATAAGGTCAGATGGAGGACCCAGTGCCTGGGATAGAGGTAAGGGAAGCTCATATATAAGGTCAGATAGAGAACCCAGTGCCTGAGATAGAGGTAAGGGTGGCTCATGTATAAGGATAGATATTGATCACAGTGCCTGAGATAGAGGTTAGGGAAGCTCATGTATAAGGATAGATAGAGAACCAAGTGCCTGAGATAGAGGTAAGGGAAGCTCATGTATAAGGATAGATAGAGAACCCAGTGCCTGAGATACAGGTAAGGGAAGCTCATGTATAAGGATAGATAGAGAACCCAGTGCCTGAGATAGAGGTAAGGGAAGCTCATGTATAAAGATAGATAGAGAACCCAGTGCCTGAGATAGAGGTAAGGAAAGCTCATGTATAAGGTCAGATGGAGGACCCAGTGCCTGAGATAGAGTTAAGGGAAGCTCATATATAAGGTCAGATGGAGAACCCAGTGCCTGAGATAGAGGTAAGGGAGGCTCATGTATAAGGTCAGATAGAGGACCCAGTGCCTGAGATAGAAGTAAGGGAAGCTCATATATAAGGTCAGATGGAGAACCCAGTGCCTGAGATAGAGTTAAGGGAAGCTCATATATAAGGTCAGATGGAGAACCCAGTGCCTGAGATAGAGGTAAGGGAGGCTCATGTATAAGGTCAGATAGAGGACCCAGTGCCTGAGATAGAAGTAAGGGAAGCTCATATATAAGGTCAGATGGAGAACCCAGTGCCTGAGATAGAGGTAAGGGAGGCTCATGTATAAGGTCAGATAGAGGACCCAGTGCCTGAGATAGAAGTAAGGGAAGCTCATGTATAAGGTCAGATGGAGGACCCAGTGCCTGAGATAGAGGTAAGGGAATCTCATATATAAGGTCAGATAGGGGACCTAGGGCCTGAGATAGAGGTAAGGGAAGCTCATGTATAAGGATAGATATAGATCCCAGTGCCTGAGATAGAGGTAAGGGAGGCTCATGTATAAGGATAGATAGAGAACCCAGTGCCTGAGATAGAGGTAAGGGAGGCTCATGTATAAGGATAGATAGAGAACCCAGTGCCTGAGATAGAGGTAAGGGAAGCTCATGTATAAGGATAGATAGAGAACCCAGTGCCTGAGATAGAGGTAAGGGAAGCTCATGTATAAGGTCAGATGGAGGACCCAGTGCCTGAGATAGAGGTAAGGGAGGCTCATGTATAAGGTCAGATGGAGAACCCAGTGCCTGAGATAGAGGTAAGGGTGGCTCATGTATAAGGATAGATATAGATCCCAGTGCCTGAGATAGAGGTAAGGGAAGCTCATGTATAAGGATAGATAGAGAACCCAGAGGGAATGGCCATGTACAAGGTTGGTTAGGTTCCCAGAAGCAGCTGGTCAGATATTTTTAGAATGAGCCTGAAATGCCAGTTAGACCAGGGAAAAGCTTCAAGGTTCTCTTGTGATGAACATGTGTAGTTTTACTGCCTGCCAATAAATCCCACTACGCCAGTGAATCCCACTTCCGCGTTTGGTTGCTGCTGTTAAATAGACTGTTGTATACACTCCATGGGCAAATGTTGGCCATGCATTTACACGTGATGACCCACGCACAATATTAGTTTTTTAAATAGCCTTAGAGTTTGTATATCATTCCTGTGTTACTATCAGGTTAGGTGAGGTGAAACGGGGTTTAACATCGCATCCAAGATTATTGCACTTATATTGCGACGTGCATGCATGTGTGTGTGTGGCTAACTTCCGGACTAATGCCAATTTTATTGTGAGATACCATGAGATACCATGCCGCAGTTTAACATGAATGCCCCACTCAGACACAGTACTGACTCCAAGCCGACCAGTCTATGTTTCAGCCCCTTAATGTTGAGCCCCAGACAGGGTAACAACAAGTAACATGTTTTGCCGTCTTTTGGTATGATGCAGCTGGGGATAACTAGTTTTTACACATGTGGGTATTTAAGTTAAATATTTAAAAACACTGTTCATCTAGTCCCTGCAAACTGGTGTCGGATGGGTTCGAGAGCTTTATAGGACTCAAAAATACCACGATACTTCCACAAGAAAGTGTGATGGCAAATGATCATGATGTAACTGTCATCGTGGAGTTTGGCAAGGTTGACAGAATGCCCGTTTATAATTTCAAAATAAGTTGCTGATTTGCTAATCGAATACGCAGGGTTACTTCACAATATTTTGATGATATGCACAAGTTTTATTTTTGTAGCGCATCTGTAATGTTCGTTGCGTATTTGATACGTATTTGATTTATTTTACTGCATATTTCTGCATTTCTGATGCGTATTTTACGCAGATACGCTGCTTATCTGGAGCTCAGAGACAATAGGTGAAATTGTTCCCCAAATAAAAAGTTCCGCCACTGAGGGCATTCTCCTTACTAGGGTTAAAAGGGGTTCCCAGTGTTTAGTGCACTGTGCAATTTCAACAATCAATTTGATGATTGGGCCGACGCCCAGTCGGCCTGCTTCTGCCTTAGGTTTTTTAAGACATAATTTCTTTTCTGTCTGCTTATCCATTAGATTACCATGTCCACAACTTAGTCACCTTAGTAACAACACTGATCATGCCTTCAGTTGTTACTCAGGGGATTAATCCCTGAAATTATTATGTGGAATAGGGCTGAGGGCAGATGGTGTTTTATTACCCAAACAGGATGTTAGTATTAAAATGCTAGTTACTGATTTTTAATTGTTTTTTTTAATTATTCACAATGTCAAGATCAAAAGTCATTTCGCAGAATCAACAATGTAAGCAATGTTGTTATTTTTGTAGGATTAACAGAAATAGCAGGAACAATATATGTATAACGGCTAAGAATTACAGGATAGATAAACATGGCAAATATATCAGCCAATGAAAACAGTTGTCACTGCTGCACAGGTAGCTTTAGGCCATGCCCCCAAATAGTTTTTTTTTAAAGCCAAATTCAGAACGAGTGATTTCAACGCTTTCTCTCAGAAATTGACTGAATGTATCTTGGAAAATTGAGATTTACAACAAAATCTCAACCATTGTTTTCACTCTCACAGTCAAGAGCCCCTGATATTATTGCCAAACTCAACGTTTGTGCATGTATCTGATATAATTGGTGCCTTTATGTGAGTATATAATAATTGATTGGATATGTTTCACTTTATAACAACTTGTCATGCAAGTATTATGGAGAGCCTCCGTGGTCTTGTGGATAGAGGGTCTGTCTAGAGAGTGGAAGGTCGGTGGTTTGATGCCCAGCTACTTTAAAAGATGGTACTTGTTGTTACCCTGCCTGGTGCTCTGCATTAGAAGGCTAAAACAAGGATTGGTCTGGTGTCTGAGTAGGATATCCATGTTAAACTGCAGCACGTATCTCAGTGAGCTGGCACTATAAAGCTGAAATTTGTCTGAACGAGTACAAGCAGATGCACACAGACACATCACTGTATAAGTGCAATAATGTGGAACCCTTGTCCACCTCAGCACCAGTACGGGGACATGTTCTGTAACCCATGCATGCATTCTACACTCCAGTGTGGAAACATTAGACCGGAGATGCATGTGACTTTTGTAATGCTGTAAGTTAGCTAGAGGCATTGCACTTTTTGTCCTACTGCATATGCCAAGTGGTTTACGCACATTTAGAAGTGTCATGCCATACTGAAAGGCCAGAAGGGTAGATACCAGATACCTGCCTGACACCCCCATGTACAGCCTCCATGTCTGAAAGGCCAACAGGTGAGAGGGGTGAGCGAGATTTGACTCACCTCCAGATACCTGCCTGACACTCTCATGTAGAGCCTCCATGTCTGAAAGGTCAACAGGTGAGAGGGGTGAGCGAGATTTGACTCACCTCCAGATACCTGCCTGACACCCCCATGTAGAGCCTCCATGTCTGAAAGGCCAACAGGTGAGAGGGGTGAGCGAGATTTGACTCACCTCCAGATACCTGCCTGACACCCCCATGTAGAGCCTCCATGTCTGAAAGGCCAACAGGTGAGAGGGGTGAGCGAGATTTGACTCACCTCCAGATACCTGCCTGACACCCCCATGTAGAGCCTCCATGTCTGAAAGGTCAACAGGTGAGAGGGGGTGAGCGAGATTTGACTCACCTCCAGATACCTGCCTGACACCCCCATGTAGAGCCTCCATGTCTGAAAGGCCAACAGGTGAGAGGGGTGAGCGAGATTTGACTCACCTCCAGATACCTGCCTGACACCCCCATGTAGAGCCTCCATGTCTGAAAGGCCAACAGGTGAGAGGGGTGAGCGAGATTTGACTCACCTCCAGATACCTGCCTGACACCCCCATGTAGAGCCTCCATGTCTGAAAGGCCAACAGGTGAGAGGGGTGAGCGAGATTTGACTCACCTCCAGATACCTGCCTGACACCCCCATGTAGAGCCTCCATGTCTGAAAGGCCAACAGGTGAGAGGGGTGAGCGAGATTTGACTCACCTCCAGATACCTGCCTGACACCCCCATGTAGAGCCTCCATGTCTGAAAGGCCAACAGGTGAGAGGGGGTGAGCGAGACCGGAACTCTTCTTAGGTAACTGCAAACCAGATGTGGGAAGATGGTGCACACAGGTCATTCCGGAGAAACTCAAGGGGTTGTAGTTCCCACTATACAACAACAATGATATATGATCATTCCAGATAATGTATTCTTTTTTTAACTCATTTGAAAATATTTACCTTAGAGTGGAAAATGAATACACAATTAAGTAGTGTGCATCCTATTTTTTAAAGGATCAAAATATATTGAAATTAAAAACAAAATTCTATATGTTCTCTCTTGTGAAGTTATCCTCTCACCAGTGTTCGATCAGTTCAACATGTAACACTCCTGATCAACCACAATTTGTACTAGATCTTTCTCATGGCAAAGTTAATGAAGCTCACCTTAATTGCTACCTCTTGTGTAACCCTGTGTGTTATGCAATGTACTAACATGCATACAGAACGTTGTAAACAGGGATCCATTTCAAGAAGAGATTATTATATTTTTACACCATTGAGTGCACAGTGTTTGGCTGCTGCCTGCTTCAAATTCCTGCCACTAATGACTTGAGTGAGAGCAGAGAACTCTTAGCTTTGTGGAGGAATGTGTGGAGAAACTTTGCTTTGTTCATCCCAGAGTTGTGTGGATGAAGAAGGTGTGATTCTTTTATGAGAGTTTATGGTGGAAGCTGAACATTGAGGATATTCCTTGACTACATGTCCTACTCTCTGGGCAAATGTCTGAACTCTGGTAAGCTTCATGTACAGTACATGTGTCCCATTATAGAAACACAAGTAGGGAACTGTTGGTGTGTGTGCAAAAACAGTGACAGCCATACAGTGTTGGGTGGGATGGTGGCTCAGTGGTAAGTGTATTGGGTGGGATGGTGGCTCAATGGTAAGTGTGTTGGGTGGGATGGTGGCTCAGTGGTAAGTGTATTGGGTGGGATGGTGGCTCAGTGGTAAGTGTGTTGGGTGGGATGGTGGCTCAATGGTAAGTGTGTTGGGTGGGATGGTGGCTCAATCGTAAGTGTATTGGGTGGGATGGTGGCTCAATCGTAAGTGTGTTGGGTGGGATGGTGGCTCAATGGTAAGTGTATTGGGTGGGATGGTGGATCAGTGGTAAGTGTATTGGGTGGGATGGTGGCTCAATGGTAAGTGTGTTGGGTGGGATGGTGGATCAGTGGTAAGTGTGTTGGTTGGGATGGTGGCTCAGTGGTAAGTGTATTGGGTGGGATGGTGGATCAGTGGTAAGTGTATTGGGTGGGATGCTGGCTCAATGGTAAGTGTGTTGGGTGGGATGGTGGCTCAGTGGTAAGTGTGTTTGGTTGGATGGTGGCTCAGTGGTAAGTGTGTTGGGTGGGATGGTGGATCAGTGGTAAGTGTGTTGGGTGGGATGGTGGATCAGTGGTAAGTGTGTTGGGTGGGATGGTGGCTCAGTGGTAAGTGTGTTGGGTGGGATGGTGGATCAGTGGTAAGTGTGTTGGGTGGGATGGTGGCTCAGTGGTAAGTGTGTTGGGTTGGATGGTGGCTCATTGGTAAGTGTATTGGGTGGGATGCTGGCTCAATGGTAAGTGTGTTGGGTGGGATGGTGGCTCAGTGGTAAGTGTGTTTGGTTGGATGGTGGCTCAGTGGTAAGTGTGTTGGGTGGGATGGTGGATCAGTGGTAAGTGTGTTGGGTGGGATGGTGGATCAGTGGTAAGTGTGTTGGGTGGGATGGTGGCTCAGTGGTAAGTGTGTTGGGTGGGATGGTGGATCAGTGGTAAGTGTGTTGGGTGGGATGGTGGATCAGTGGTAAGTGTGTTGGGTGGGATGGTGGATCAGTGGTAATTGTATTGGGTGGGATGGTGGCTCAGTGGTAAGTGTGTTGGGTAGGATGTCGGATCAGTGGTAATTGTATTGGGTGGGATGCTGGCTCAATGGTAAGTGTGTTGGTTGGGATGGTGGCTCAGTGGTAAGTGTATTGGGTGGGATGGTGGCTCAGTTGTAAGTGTGTTGGGTGGGATGGTGGCTCAGTGGTAAGTTTATTGGGTGGGATGGTTGTTCAATGGTAAGTGTGTTGGGTGGAATGGTGGCTCAATGGTAAGTGTGTTGGGTGGGATGGTGGATCAGTGGTAAGTGTGTTTGGTGGGATGGTGGCTCAGTGGTAAGTGTATTGGCCGGGATGGTGGCTCAGTGGTAAGTGTGTTGGGTGGGATGGTGGCTCAATGGTAAGTGTGTTTGGTGGGATTGTGGCTCAGTGGTAAGTGTTGGGCGGGATGGTGGCTCAGTGGTAAGTGCATTTGCTCATTAGTTTATTCCAGATATGGGTACACAAGTTTTAGCATATTTCTGTCACTGTGTTAGCCCTGAGCTTACAATATAATATGTCGCTAGGGATTGAACAACTGTTTCGGTTGCCAACCATCAGCACTTCCTTCTATATTTGGGTATCTGCTGCAGATGCTGCTGTGATGATGGTGATGTGGGCATCAGTCAGCCGTCCATGATGATAGTGACAGTGGTCAGTCTGCCCGTCACAGATCACTACAGATACTCCCACAGGTAGGGTGGCTGTTGTCTACTGTGAACATTACACTGTGTCTATCCATTGGCCATGCTTTGATTATTTTGAATTGGAAAGAAGATCAGTATATTTTATATTTTAGCATATTCTAATGTTAGGCTTTATTTCACGTACCATAAATACCGGTATCTAAAATCTCAGTTTCACCTTTCTATAATTTGAAGTTAGGAATTTCCTCTTCAATTCAGTTTGACATCATCAGAGTCAAATTACTAGAAATTTATGCACTGACAATGAGTTCATATTTAAAGATGTGCAGCAATAAGAATACCACACAGTGCAAGCAGATTGAAGATTGGTATGTGGTGCATTTGATAATATTCTTTAGATTGACTGGCACATCATGTATTGAAAATATTGGAAGGCTCCCAACTTGTAATACTTGTATCACACACCAGCTCACTATGTGAATAGAAAAAATTTAAACTGAGACCTTTGCATGTATGGTGTGTGAAGGCGAACACACTATGTTAATGTTCCATGTTCCAACAAGAGATTGTAGTAGCTTGAATGGCTTGTGTGAGACTGCTTGCTGTCATCTCTGAAGCAGGGGACACAACTCTGTCATTCTTGTTGTGTGGAGGGTAAGCTTGCACATGTTTGTCTTCTCATGGTGCACTGTTGGTCATGTGATGCCTTGGCTGGGTTACACTTGTTGTAGAATAAAGGTCATCTTTGGTGTTACAACTCTAAAGTCATATTGACAGATGATGTCAATGCTTCGTGTAGCAGATCATGTGTACTCAGTATAATCATGTTTATCATGGATCAGTTAGAGTTAACATACAATTTCACAAAAGTTCAGACAATTTGGCATTTGAACGATTTATAGATATTATATCAGTAAAACATTTCATTTGCCTTTTGTGCAGGAATACATGTACCATGTGTGAGCATGAGGAGTGTGATATATGCCCCATCAGCCAATGTTTTCAATGTTATCACTTGTAAGACTACTGATCCTTCTGAAGTTCTCTAGGTTCCACCAACCATGGTTATCCCAGTACCATTCCTACTGACCATCACCTACAGACCATCACCTACAGACCATCACCTACGGACCATCACCTACTGACCATCACCTACAGACCATCACCTACAGACCATCACCTACAGACCATCACCTACTGACCATCACCTACAGACCATCACCTACAGACCATCACCTACTGACCATCACCTACAGACCATGACCTACTGACCATGACCTACGCACTACGCACGCACGCACGCACGCACGCACGCACGCACGCACGCACGCACGCACGCACTGACCATCACCTACAGACCATCACCTACTGACCATGACCTACACACGCACTACGCACGCACGCACTCACGCACGCACGCACATGACTTAAACTAATAATCATAGCTTCACAGACATATTCTAAACAAATTCCATCCCCTGTGTAATACCGTATCATCTCCCCTGATCTGACAGTAGCCTCCCTCATCCAGTCCCTCCTCTCTTCACACACTTTTATTTCAGCCCCCTATTCCCCCCTCCCGTCTCGTATCTGCTTCGGTGTCGGTCCAGGCAGGTGGATGAGGGGATCACAAAGTGCTTTATGTGGACAAATATGATTCTTTGGTTTTGAACACACACTTCACAAGATCATTCCAGTTTGAAATATGTAAAGTAGGACAAGATGGTATTCAGTTTCAAGTGTAGATCTACCCAAAGAGATACTTCAGTTGTATATTAAAGTACAAATCTGTAAAGATTACTCCAATACAGGATGAGCTACATTGTATCATCAACCGTGGTCTTGTATTGATTGAACATGTATTGGTAGTGACACTGTTACCTGAGCCAGATCAATAATATAGACTGCAACTTAGTCATTCAACAATAGAAATTGGCATACGTCCTGTAGTCCTTGTCAAACTAAGTAGATAAGGACTAGTAGAGGTTTGCCATTTTTAAGGGTTTTGCTGTAAGTTATCATTTTAAGGACTATCGGACTAAAAATGTTAGTTTCTAACGGTGTCATTATTTGTTTGTCTGAATCACTGCCTCCTCACTAACTTGAAGTCTAACTTGAAAAACATGAAGGTTATATTTTTTTTTTTAATGTAGGCGCCATGAGCACACGAGCTGGTATGGAGTTTGGCGCCATACAAATGGACTCATTATTATTATTTTTTTTATTATTTATGATTGGATCAACCCAACCGATCGATTATTGAAATTAATTGCTTTGCCTCAATTTGCTGTTTATCAATGTTAAGCTCATTAGATCACACCTTACAAAAGCCAACACAAATATTTACTTCAGCACTATATTTTTCAAATAAAGACTCTGGCTTCACACTTTCTCACTGTTTTCTCCAAGTCCTTCGTAGTAAGAAGTGAATAAACCTCCTCAGGAAACAACACTGTCTCAGGGTTGAGATAGGGGTAATATCATTTGTGTTCGATGATGGAAAATTGTGATTGATTGGTCATTTGTACCTTATGATCAGTCTCAGACTATTTCAATTATTTGAAACATTACTATTTCAATAGCTTAAATTGTCTGTATGTGGTAAACTAAATCTTACCTGTTAGCATACGTAAATAGAAATAGTAGCCCTTCAACAGATGTTACAGAAAGTGTGTCTGATAGATTGGAAGCTGAATAAGAGGCTAAGTTGCAGTCCAGCACAGAAGGTCCTGAAGTCCTACCCACACCAACAGCATGTTCTCTCTGTAGTAGCAGCTGCAGTTCCTACCCACACCAACAGCATGTTCTCTCTGTAGTAGCAGCTGCAGCTCCTACCCACACCAACAGCATGTTCTCACTGTAGTAGCAGCTGCAGCTCCTACCCACACCAACAGCATGTTCTCTCTGTAGTAGCAGCTGCAGCTCCTACCCACACCAACAGCATGTTCTCTCTGTAGTAGCAGCTGCAGCTCCTACCCACACCAACAGCATGTTCTCACTGTAGTAGCAGCTGCAGCTCCTACCCACACCAACAGCATGTTCTCTCTGTAGTAGCAGCTGCAGCTCCTACCCACACCAACAGCATGTTCTCACTGTAGTAGCAGCTGCAGCTCCTACCCACACCAACAGCATGTTCTCTCTGTAGTAGCAGCTGCAGCTGCATTAGAACTTCTTCTGAAAGGATTGCCGACCAGATTACAAGAGACAGTTCAGAACTGAGTTATGTAACATGCATTGAATTCACTACAGCGGTAAAGCTTGCTGCGCTGCTGCTGAAATGATTGCGTAGAGCATTTTCCACTGACCGCTGTCCTTCATAACAGGAAGAAGCAGCAGGATCATTGCAATCGAGATCAGTGGTATACATCAGGGCTCATGTAAGCAAGGATTACATCCTACCTAAATATTATCCCGGGGGAAGTTTTACTCTAGAGTATAGTATAGGATAGGATTAAACACACTGGTATGGGTTCAAATTCACTATAGGGAGAATCATCCTGATATTATTCACTCTTACACTAACATGTCCATGACATTGTCTGGATGATGCTGTCTTCACAAATGTGTGAACAGTTTCACTGTGGTCCTTTTACTTTTTATGATAGTGTAAGTGAAAGCTAGCCAAACTCTGCTTGCTGCTATTTCTGGAAACCAACCAATCAAGATAGCAGCCTGTGGTATACTGAGGGAATGCTGGGAGGGACACAGGTCTGAGAGTACCTAACTCTTCACACTGCCACAAACCGAATAAATCTGACTCATTGACTGGTTGCTGTCTTACAAGGTTGCCCAGATAACGTCACAATGAGTATTACCTCCTAATCTACCATAAATGTGATTACAGCTGGTATTATACTTACCAGTACATATTCACAATGTCGGTTTGTCTTGCTCAGATTTTTGGTGCCAAAATGATTTATGACATGTTTAAAAGTAGGTGTGTAACAGGGATTTAGTGAGTGAGTTAATGCTGCTTTGAACAGTATTCTACCCACACATTAAAAATTGCTTGATTCTGATTGGTTAAAAAGAAGTATCTTTTTCCTATTGATTCCTCATTTAAATTAAGCCTTTTCACACAAAAAACGTATGAAAACATTCATTTATTGACAAACGATGCATCAATGCATATAACAATGTATATGTTCGATATCAGAAAAACAGCTAATCAGATTACAGTTTATTATTGACTAAACTTTTCTTATTTTTTAAAGAAAGTTTCCAAACATGCCTACTATACACTTATTTTGGGACCTTTGGTTAGTTGGAAAGCCAGACAGAAATGGGAATTTATTTTTGGTGAATTAAACTGGAAATCCATTTTTATAAAACCTTTCAAAATAAGCAAAGATACAAAGCTTCAGTGGTTTCAGTTCAGGATAATTCATAGGATACTTACAACCAACTCATTTCTATTTTTATATCAAGAATGTGGACAGTGATCAATGTACTTTTTGCAGTGATGATAGAGAGACGATCGGCCATCTCTTGTGGGAGTGTGATATTGTACAGAATTTCTGGAAACAGTTTATGAGCTGGATAAATGACAAATGTGGACACATTCATAATCTACATCTTTCAGCAGAATTTTTTATTTTTGGCTTTAAAGAAAATCTTATAACTGATAAAGTGTTTGATTTTATCATCCTGTTCACATAATATTTTATCTACAGATGTAGAGTTTAAGTGTGCGTGCGTACGTGCGTGCGTGCGTGCGTGCGTGTGTAAATGGTGTTTGTATGAGACGTTGAATGGCTGTTGTGTTTTAATGATAAAAAAATATATATTATGCAGTAAATCATTTATTATCATTGGTAATATCAATTATTACAAATGATGTGCAAACAGTTAATTTATTAATATGCATTATATAGTGTAAAATGTATTTTGAACCCTGAATAAAAAGATTATTACAAAAAAACAACCCAGCAAATCAAACATGATGAAATGTTGAAAACATACACAATTAAGTAGAACACACACTTACCAAGTGTGATTGGTCACTGAAATGAGCAGGCTCTCTCGCGTCGGTGTCTGCAGCTAACTGT